CTGCGGCGGCGGGCAGACACGCGTGTGCTCCTGGAGCACCGCCGCAGCCCCGCGGGACGCGGAGAGAAGCCTGGCGAGTGTCCCTAGGAAAGCGCGAAGCTGAGGTGTGGGGCGGGTGGGCTCCTTGGGTGTGTAAGAAGAGACGGATTCCCCTCCACGCCCCGAGGTTTGCTGGTACAACCGGTGGCACAATCCCGGTGGATCCCCGTCAGCCGACAGCCAGCAATCTCTCCTCCACATCAGCTTTCATCGGGGGGCTCATGGCTATCAAGTCAAATTTTCACGAGGAACATTCACCCCCACGCAAAACAGACTGTTGGCTTGACCTGCAGGTTGTTCTTCCCCAAGTTTCCTTTGGGTTCTTCTTGCCCATCGCTACATTGGCACATGCCAAACATGATTAGATTGCCAGAAATCACCTTCCACTGCTTTGGGTTTTTTCTTCTATCAGAAGCACACGTGCCTAGGGGAATTCAGGATGTGCTTTAGCCCTGCAGCAATCCTTAGGTCTCTCTCAAGCTTGCCACCATATGAGACCAGCCCCAAGGTTCACTTGGACGCTGCTCCATGGAGCAGTTGGCCTGGTTTCAGGCGTCAGGGCCAGGGCTCCAGCCGCCCTGGCTGCACTGCAGGATCCCTGCCTCCGTGCCCAACACATTGTTCTTCTCTAGGACTGTGCATCTGCAGCAAATTTTCCCTGTTACTCTGAGACAGCATAGCCGAAAGAGGCACAAACTCCCTTAAGTACTGTTGAGTAACCTGTGAGGATCTCCTCTAGGGAGAGACTGAACATTTCAAAGCAGAGGTAGCTGAGCTAGGAGCTGATCACAGACCTCTCCAGTCCCAGGTGGCCACAGACATCCTCACGCTCCTGCCCATTTCCACAGGGGGATAATCAGCACAGCATATCCAGCCCTTACCTAACACCGTTCTTGGGCTCCACTCAAAGTACTCCATAACGGGATCCTCTTTTATTACATAGGCTCTCTGGACCCGGTCCCCAGAAAACCAACAGCACTCACAGTCTTCAGCTAAAGCTGCAGATGTAAACATCCATGTAGTTAAAGCTCAGCACCTCTAAAAATTATCTTCTAGGGGGGGAACCTCGACATCGCCGCATCGCTCTTCTCTCTGCAGTGGGTCTGTTCCTCCACCAGGGGGAACTTCCACCTCACGCTGTGACCTGTAACAAGCTGTTACCTCCTCGCCCACCTCTTGGGCTACAGCAGCATTTCCTCCGCAAACCGGTATTTTCTGCTTACAGGCTGTGAACCACAGCTGGAGGTGCGGAGCCACCACCAAATACTCCTGCCTCGGGGTCTGAAAGGACCTAGAGTACCAGCATTTTGACTATTATAGAAACACCACAGACAAGACTGGGTGGTCTGTTGCAATAAACAAGTATAATAAATTTGCTGTCTTCTCAAGACAAGATTGCTCTCTGGAAGAACTGCTTTCTCTCCAAAAGAAGCCATTAGTTCATCTAGCCCAAACTCTAAGGCAGTGAATCATCCTGTGGCTGTCTTGTCATAGCCAAATAAGTACTTGGAGATCTGTTATCCAAGATTTTTTACATCTCAGAATTATTTAGTGTGAGATTTTAGACTGCATGTTGGCAGATACTCTGCAACATTATTACAGTTAATGGTGTGATATTATCAAGTATAAGGCACAGATCTCTCTGCACGAATATTTGTGTAATCACCACAAGACACAGAACTTGCTGCTTAATACTTGATGCATATTTCAAACATAGAAAAATGGACCAACAGAAGATACCAAATCATAAAGAGAGATAACACAGAGGACAACACTCAAAGCTGCAGCAAAACATTTTAGTGCCCAAAGCATAACTCATCCTCATGGCCACTTGGCTCCTTCCACCCTCTTCCAGATCACCACGTTCCCTGCACCTCCTGCTAGTCACCATCACTGCTGACCCACAGTGTTCTTTTCTGGGCAGCAACTGTCAAAAAGGCTTGAAGATTTTTATTTCTGCTTGGCAGCTTCTCTCTGACAGAGGTAAGCCGGACATGGACCCCTCTTGTGCTGCTGCTTTGTACACAATTGACACAATCACCACATGATGACTGTTGACTGATCTTAAGCCTCAAATGTACACAGACAGTTAACAAGGTAGTCTAGTGATGGAAAATCTAAGGAGCCTGTCGATGTGAATGCAGAGAGCTTTACTTAAATCGTTATTTGGTAAACAGAGGGTGAAGGGTAGAAGTTCAGCTCTACTGAGTCATCAGTGGAAGGGTGACAGTGCTCCCTACCTACTCTTCATGAGCTATGTCTTAGAATAACAGCCAAACAGCCCTGTGACTGTAAGCCTGGCATATGACATCTCAAGCATCCTGGTAAGAGGCTTTTCTTGAAGAAAGCCTTTCCTTTGCTATTAAACTGCCTGCCCCAGTCTATGAAAAAATAACAGAGAGAGACACAAGAAGAGTTAAAGCTGCAGGGACAGATATGAATTAATTTACACAGCCAGCTCAGCAGAGAGGCCACCCAGTGCTAGTGGAACATTTTGGAACAGCTTTAGCAGTGGAAGAAGGTCAGGCAGTGAAAAATCCTACGCAGATTGCACCATTAGATAGTTTGATCCCTGTTCCCCCCAAAAACAAAATAAACCAGCTTTGTTAATGAAGGCAGAGCCACCACCCTTGCCCTAAATACTATGCAGCCTTCTCCTAGCAACTACTTTTCCTGAGCAGTTCACAGCCATGGAAAAGTCAGACCCCCCAGCAGCTCTATCATAATCAGACTCATTCCTCTTTGGACCCAGGGAGAGGGGATGTCAGCCTCACAGCTGAACAAGAACTGCCAAGCCAACACTTCTTAGCACAAGAAGAGTGACAGATATATATGCACAGGGCAGTCTGTTACCAAATCTAGAAAAGGTCAAGAACTAGCAAGTGCAGAGAACTCTCACCAAGAAGGCACGTTCTCCAACAGATCGAACCTACATGGGAGGCATTTCAGAACAGCTTGAGAAGAACAGACAACTTAGCTAGGAAATGTGCCCAGGTATAGAGAAGAGTATCAGAGAGGAAACCTGTGGTGATATTTAGGTGCTGAAATTCATGTGGAGAAAGCACAACAACAAAATGAGTATAAAAATACATAAAATACACATGCATTAGCAACAGTGCACACATATATAGTATAGTATTGTTACAGTACCAAAAAAGTATCAGGAGAAGACAGTTTGATCTGGAAATAGATATTCTGCATCCCATCAAGAAATATATAAACACACACACATATACACACACATATAGATACATATGCTCAGCCTCTTGGAAGAGACATGTTTGGTCTTCCACCCACTGGAAGAGAATGGGTGACCTCTTGCATTTATCTCCTGACTTCTACTTGGGTAGCAAAAGAAAAAACAAATAAAACAAAAACCTGAAAAGATAACATGGACTTTTAGAGGAAAAAAAACAAACAAACAAACAAACAAACAAACAAAACAACCAAGAAGAATGCAGCTCTTGAATACAGTAATGAAAAATGCCCATTTCTAAAACTACAGCTTTACTAACAGATTTGGACTAGATAGGAAAATGTTAATCCTACTTTATGGGGAGTATTGTTAAAGCATGTGGAGACAGTCAGCATTTCCTGGCTGCCATTTCCATCTTTATTATTGAATTACTTGCTTCAGAGCTATGGCCATTAGCAAAGAGAGATTAAGAAATGCCTATTTTGACTCAAAAATGGTGTGGTCTGGCATATGAGCTGGGAAGTGTGACTGCTGAGAAGCTCTCTTCATTCTCAGACTCACTATAAGAGCTTGGGGAAAACATGAAGACCAGTGTGCTTCAATGTATCATTTGGCTTTAGGTAACCAAAATGGGACAGCTTAGCCCCAAATACTCTTAATACAAAACTGCAGCACAGTGATCAGTCACTGGCACCCAGTATCTGCAAATAATAAGCTCCGAATACCTCAAGTCATGCATCAGAAGTGTCTTCTAAGAAGTCTCTTTGCTTCCAATATCCCCTTCTGTAACTTAGATGGTATGAGATGCCTTTGCCTTGGAATATATCCGTGTGTCTTAGATGAATTCATTAGTGGCTATGAGGCATCTGTAGACCCTCCAGCTCCATGAGAAATTATCCCAGTTCAGCATGTTTTCCATTCCACTATTTCAGAATGAAGAAAATGCTTGGATTACAGCATTTTATAAACTGATGAATATTAGACTGGAACTTACTTTTTCAGAATTAAAAGCCAATAGAGACATTCATAAATTACCACTATTATTACAGTACTTCTGACACTCAGATTAGTTTTCTTGTCCTTTGTTACCTGGTACTATCTTTCCACCTCAGCCTAGTCATGCACAACCATCAGGTCTATTCCATGTCTCCAAATGCCTGTCACTGCTTATGTCCTAAACACCCTGCTTGTGGACAGCACATTACAAAATTGCAAAAAAAAAAATTACATATGGGAAAAAAAAATGGTGATCAGAAAACAGAAATTTTGGTAGAGAGATCTTCTGGATCAAACTGCATAGCCTCCTGGTAGATAAAAAGAGACACTGCCTCCTCTTAGGGATGTTACATACAACTCCCTTATTTTTATGAAGCACTTCTCCCCCTGTCCCTGCCAGACAAGAACCTACTCACATATTTGATAAAGACTGCAAACAAAGAGGAAAACCTGCTGCTCAGGTATCTTGGTTGGATGCTGGGAGAAAGTCAGATTGGGATTTCCCTGTGGCAGGTTCAGATCCTCACCACCTTCTTAAGGCTTTTCTTCTTCATGAACACCAGCTCTCTGAATGTCTGCTGGAGTGAGAAGGCAAGCATGCCAGAGATGTTCCCTCTGTTAAGGAAACAAAACTTCTAGAACTCCAAGAGTGACTTATAATAAGGCATACTCTCAAGACTGGAAACCAGCAGCAAGACCAAGGCTATTTCAGCTTTAAACAGAACATTTAGTCATCCTGAAAAAGGACAAGGGCCACTTCCTGGGTAAACTGCTGTGGATGATGCATACTGGGTCAAGACCAGGGAAGTGTTACTCTTGGTGTGGACCTCCAGGCCCTAATTATCAGCTACCACCAGGGCAGAGACACTAAGACACAGAAAGCTTTGGTCTGATCCAGTGTATCAGCTCTGATATTTTTGCATTGGAAGGATGGGCTTTTTTGAATTTTACTACTGTATAGTGTTTAACGACTACAATACAATAGTAAATGTACTGAAGGATGACTTGACCATGTTCTTGCCCTTAAAGCAGACACAAAGAGAAAGGAGGAAGGTAATTAAGTGCCGGTATGACCATGGCTTTTGCTAAAGAGGGATGTTGAGAGAAATATGCTCAGTGCACAGCCTTGAGGTTTCACTGAGGCGCCATGCAGATGGGACTGCTAAAGATAACAAGAAGCTGTAAATAATGAGTGAAAGGGGCACCTCTCATGATCAGAGAGAAGGTCTCCTTCAAGGATAGAGAAGAAATGTGGAGGAGGCTATCCATAGCACTAATTATGTTAGAAGAAAGCTAAAGGACTGCTGCAGACTGCTCTTAACACTTATTAGAGACAGGCTGTCTTCATGGACTCATGTAATAAAAAAATAGTAGGCAATAAGAGAGGAAAGCAAAGTGGGCATCTTCACCATCCCTTGCTGAATTGCCTTTAACCAACCAGTCTGGTATTGCAGGCACTGCTCTGTTTAGCAGTATCCCGTACATAGATGAAATTACTAAGCAATTACTAGGCTAATGTGGCTTTGTAAAAACACACTTTAATAACTGTATTAATGCCACTTCACAGTAAGTTTTAATAAAAAGATGCTATTGACCTTCAGGATCAGTTTAAATCCCAACGCAAACCAGGATGTGGCAACTACAGATTTCAATTTCATGCAGAGCCCCAAGAGAGGCAGAAGGAAAGTAGCTGCACTGGCTCACCTGGCAAAGATGCCTTCCCATAGGAGCTGCTCAGAAGTACTTGCAGGTGAGCAGCAACCTCACTCTGAGGGCATTCATTTCCTCTAGGGGTTTTCCCATACCTCTGCCAAGGCTTTCCTCCTCCCATATGCCACAATACACCTGCCTCTCCCACATGTGTCCTGTTCTGTTCCTCTCAAGGTGTGTAAACCACCCACTGCTTTATAACTGCTTTCTTCTTGGTTATAAATGCAAAGAGAAATGCTGAGTGTCAAAGCACAGGGCATATTTAA